CCGTCGCCGCCGCCGTCGTCGTCGCCGCCGTCGTCGTCGTCGTCGTCGTCGTCGTCGTCGTCGTCGCCCGACCGCCCATTCAGACCTCCCACCTGGAGATCATCGCGAACTCGCCCCGGCCGAGCCTGGGCTGCCCCAGGCCGAGCGTGAAGCGGCCGAGCCTCCGCGCGCCGTCCCGGGGCGCCTCCGTCGGCAGCAAGCGCAGATCAGGCGGGCACTCCTCTGCTCGGGGGCGGAAAAGAGGGGGGTGATGACTAGGGGGGGGGGGGATATCATGGCGTGGGCCATGATAGTTCCCCAGATTTCATGGCGCCTCTTCTTATTTCATTACGTTCCTGGCCCCCCCGCTGGGCCGCGCACATGCCGCCGGTCATGATTTGCACCCCCCCTTCTTGGACACCCCCCTCTTGGCCGCTCCCGATCTGCGGCTTTCTCGGCCCCTTCCCCGCGGCCGGCTTCCCATCCTCCGGGCGTGCATCGGGCATTTCCCTCTGCAGGAGGGATCTTCAAACATCGTCAAATAATAGTCGGGAGACACATTTTTAAATGATTATTCTTGACTGTTTAGGAACATTTGCGGGGTATCTTCAATTTCTCGCCCAACCCACCTGTACGAGGACATGCCCGATCTGACTCTAGGCCTGCCAGGTGGGGTCGGAGTAGATGTGGTCGGAGGATCGCGCCGTATCGCCGATGCATCGGCGATGCGGCCCGATGTGGAGCCCGATCTTCTCCACGCCGACATCGCCGATGCATCGCTGACGTCGCCAATGCATCACCGATTCATCGGCGACACATCGGCGATGCGGCGCGATCCTACGACCCCATCTACAAGGGAGGAAACACCACCCGGAACCCGGACCCGACAAGTGGCGTTTACTAAACGGCCTTGGGCGCTTACTAAACGAGGAGGAGCAGGATGAGGACGAAATAGAGGAGGAGGAGGAGGAGGAGGAGGAGGAGGAGGAGGAGGAAGAGGAAGAGGAAGAGGAGGAGAGGAGGAGGAGGAGGAGGAGGAGGAGGAGGAGAGGGAGGAGGAGAGGAGAGGAGAAGAGGCGAGGAGGAGGAGGAGGCGGAGGAGGAGGAGGAGGATGAAGAGGAGGAGGAGGAGATAAGAGGAGAGGAGAGATGAAGAGGGGGAGGAGTGAGGGAAGGAGAGTAGGGGAGGAGGAGGAGGAGATGAGGAGGGGAGGTGGAGAGGAGGAGGAGGGGAAGGGCGGAGAGCCCTGCCCTGTCCGATTTTTTTTTGGGGGGGGGTGCGCTTGCTGGACGGCTTCGCCCGTCGGGGCGGTGGCCCCGGCGGCGGATTTTGTCGGCCCTCTGCAGCTGCTCCAGGCCCCCCTTCTGGGAGGCCGCCCTGCGCGCGTCCCGAGCCGTGCGGTCGCAGGCCCGTCGACACCTCCCCCTCCTCCTCCTCCCTCCTTCCTCCTGCCTCGTCCTCCCTCCTCCTCCTCATCTTCCTCCACCTCCACTCCTCCTCCTCCTCCCCTCCTCCTCCTCCTCGTCCTCCTCCTACTCCTCCTCCTCTCCCTCCTCCTCCTCCTCCTCCTCCTCCTCCTCCTCCTCCCCTCCTCCTCCTCCTCCTCCTCCTCCTCCACGCGGAGCGCCAAGCATTCATTTGCGTGGCCCTGTGCCTCTGCGCCCGATCTCGGCGATGGTGGTACAGTGGGGCGCGCCTCAAGAAGCCATCTACTTTTCGTCAGGGTACCCTGGGTTTCTTCGCTCCGCGCGATGCGCGGTGGCTTCCCGCGGCCGCTGAAGGAGCTGCCGCGTTCGGGGTGCTCCGGGTTTCCCCCCAGTTGCACCTCGCGCGCGGGTTTTCAGGGTTGGGTTTCTTGCGAGGGTTCCCCCCTGTGTTATGATGTTCCAACCTACTTTTAGCCTTGATCACCAGAAAGTCGAGCACCATGAACAAAGCACTGAGACTCGATGGTTTTCACATGTCGGGCCACTGTTTTGACACTCTTTCGACACTCGTTCGACACTTCTCCGGGTGCTCGAAATGATTTCTGGGATGTGGTCCCTAAGTTCGATGGGAGCAACATAACCCCTGTGTTGGTTTGGTGCCCATTTCCAGGCCCCCCGTTTCAATGCTGATCGCGCGACCGGCGAAGTTCGAAAACAAAATCGGCACCGCATTGAACATTGGAATTGTGGGGTGGGGGGGGGGAGGTATCGGAAAGCTCATGAAAGCACCAGCTGCTTTCTGCACGGGGGGGTAGGATCGCCTTCCCCCTGTGGAGGCAGCCCCCTGCGTTGGTGCTGGTGCCCATCTCCAGGCCTCCGCCGCGTGCTCTCTGCTGCCGCCCCCCCGGCGGCCCAGAGGCCGCCTGCCGGGGGGCCTCGGCCTGCCGCCGGCCTGCCGGATGGTCCTGGCGCCAGCATCGCAGAGCGGAGTTTGTCCAGAAAACGGTACGCACCCAGACATGATCGCGCCGTAGAATCACCGCCCACCAAACCACCCCAACCCAACCCGAAGGCCCCAATTTGCCCTCCATTTCCAGTTGGGGGGGGGGGTCGGGGAACGTTGATAAAACACACATGAAGCTCGTACCCCCCCCAACCCGAAATTCGAGTCTTCGGGTTGGGTTGGGGTGGTTTGGTAAGTAGTCATAGAAAGATCAGGACGGGCGGTTTTTCGCAATTTTCGACCCCTGGGGGCCCTCGCCGGCCCCCGGGACCGTCAAAAAACGACTCAGGATGGAAAACCGGCCCCGGCGAAAGGGTCTGGACTTCCAGGGACGCCGTCTTGAAACAATCAGGGCGTCGCATGTCTGGGGATACACATTGCTCATTTCTATGTTTTCGAAAGTTCTTTGATTTTTTGGGGGGCCAAGATCCTTTCATTTCTGATTGTTCCATCCTGGGCCTCTTCCTGACCACCATGGGGCCAGGAACAATTAGAAAGGAGCACACTTAGAAATGAGCACAATTAGAAATGAACGACGTGTAGGGCGGGCCCTGATTATCCTGAAGAATTTCGTTCCCGATCTCGAGGTGAACTTCGCGCGATTTTTGTTGGCCAGAGGTGAAAGCCAAACAGAACCCACGCGAAACTCACTTCGTTTTTCGCTCGCCGCTTCGGGCAAAAAATCCACGCAGAAATCCGCTGCAGCACCACGTCTGCAAGGCCGGTGCAGCGAGGATGGCTGGGTCTGGGCTTCAGTCGGGCGTGTCCCTGCACAAGAGGGATATTCAAAGATAGGTAGTCAAAAAGTGGTCTGGGGACGATCTTTTGAGCATCCCTTGGCTATTGTTGGGGTAATTAGTTTTGACTGCTTTTTTGGTTGGTTCGTCCAACATCCGCCTGTAGGGGGACATGCCCGACCGGATGCTGGATGGCTGGGCCTGGGCTCCGAGGGATTCGAAGAATAAAAAAAGGCACAAACATAAACTTTCGGCGCTCCGCGCGGATTTCTTGGATCCACGCTGGGCCCCCCCCGGCGGCGCCTCCGGCGCCGCCCCTGGCGCGCTCCGCGCGCCTGGGAGGGGGGTCCAGCCCAGATCCAAGAAATCCGCGCGGAGCGCCCAAAGTTTATGTCCATGCCGTGTGCTCTCCTCCGAGGGATTGGGGGGGGCGGCCTCGGGCGGCGGCGCTGCGGCCACGCAGGAAGCTGCGGCCTCGGAAGGGGCAGGGCCAGACAGCAGGGACTTGGCGAGGAGAGGGAGGACGGGGATGGGGAGGAGGGCGAGGAGGAGCGCTGGTGACACGAGCGACCCAAGGGGCGAGGGGGCCGAGCAGCCTTACATAGCCCCTGGGTGCGCGGCGGAACTGCGGCTCCGCGGCGCAGATCCATGCTCTTCTTGCTGCACGCCCCGCTGAGCGACCCGCCCCGCGACCCACCCGCGACCCGCCCCGCGACCCACCCTCGTTCCACCCGCGACCCGGCCCGCCGCGCGATTGTGGGCCCACCAGCCCGCCGACGACCCATGCGCGACCCGCCCACACTGTTTTCAAGAGGTCGGCGCCTGCGGCGGGCCTCCTCGCGTCCCGGCGGCGAGCCCGGGGGAGGAGTGAGAAGGGGCGGGCCTGCTCGGAAGACTCGGGAGTCCCCTGGCCTTCTAAGAAGCTTTCGAAGCCCCCCCCAAAGACGCATAAGGCTGCCCAGAAGGCGCGAGGGCTTCTGCGAAGCCCCGCCGCCTTCCAAGGAGACCTTCTCCTTCTCGCTTCCCCCCTGTCGCTCGCCGCCGAACATCTGCCTGCGAGCCTGGCGAGGTGCCGACGACCCCCCCCTCACCTCATTATCTTATCCGCAGCTGCGCGGGCTGCAGCAGTCGAGAAGGCCAGGCGGTCGTCGAAGAAGAAAAAACTGGCATAAGCACAAACTTCTGGCGCTCCAGCCCAGATCCAAGAAATCCGCGCGGAGCGCCCAAAGTTTATGGCCATGCCGCCTGCTCTCCTCCGAGGGATTGGGGGTGGCGCCCTCGGGCGGCGGCGCTGCGGCCACGCAGGAAGCTGCGGCCTCGGAAGGGGCAGGGCCAGACAGCAGGGACTTGGCGAGGAGAGGGAGGACGGGGCTGGGGAGGAGGGCGAGGAGAGGGGACTGTTTGTAGCGTTGTTTCGTCTTCGAGCGCGAGGAGAGTGGACCTTCCGGCTTCCGGGCGGAGCTTCGAGTGACAGCGCGGGAGGACAGTGCGTGCAGCACTCGGGAGTTTCCCATCCTCTCCTGGCACTCGCTCCCCCCCCCCCCAGACTTATGTTGTGCCCATCGAACTTAAGGACCACATCCCAGGAATAGTTTCGAGCACCCGGAAAAGCGTCGAAAGAGTATCGAAACAGTGTCGACACAGTGTCTCCCAGGGCCCGACACGTGAAAACCATCGAATTTCGGCATTTTTTCTGGTGCTCGAAATTCTTGCTGGTGATCAAGGCTAAAGTAGGCTGGAACATCATAATCCTATACATGCGACGTCCTGATCTTTTCAGGACGGGGTCCCTGGAAGTCCCGACCCCTTCCCAGGGACCGTTTTTTTTTCTCGAGTCGTCTTTTGACGGCCCC